ATTTGTACATAGTAGGTTAAGTGTATATAGTAGAGTAGGTTAGTTTTAAGCTGTAAATAGTAGTATTAAGTAGTTTCTCTTCAAATTCTAAAAACAAAACAAACCAATCCCACCAAGGTGGTCGACCGTGTACTAAGTCTAGGACTAATTCTGTAAAACAAATTTTGAATTTTGCCCATACCTAAAGATGAAGAAAGCAATTAAATCACTTAGTAAAAAAAATTTATATGGTAATCGTCCAAGTTAAACTGAAATAAAGATCATTTAAACTAAAAGCAAACTGATAATCAGTTACCTTTTGACCGGCCAAGAGTAAGCATCAGCAAGCAGCAGAAGAAAGCAAACCTTTGTAAACAAAAGCAGTAGAGAAATAAAGTAGTTACTAGCGTAGCCGTTCGCCGTTTGAATAATTACCCAGCAAGCATCCCTGGTTCGGAGCAAGCGTTGAACCCCACCCCCAGCTCTTTTCAGAGCTCAAAGAGTTTGATTTAGATCGACGCTTGCCTCCTCCACCAATCATTGCCGATACAGTCCACTGCCGAAAGGGAAAGTGCCTTCCCAGAACGAACAATTGGAAAGTAGTGCAGTTCCAAACATCTGTTGAAGATAGCGGTTAGAAGAGACTGCACTTTCATGCTGAGTCTCTTCAAGATCAAGTTAAATATACCGTCAAACCCGGGAGCCTTCATGTTCTTGGTGCATTTCAGCGCTGAGCAAATATGTTGTACTGTAATCATATCCGCCGGAGGCACGACACAAGGGGAGACATCTAGGTTTTGAACGCATTGCGCAACCTGATCATCGAGCGGACTTTGGATATTCGAGCCAAGCAAATGCGATGAAGCGACATGCTCGCCGATCGCATTTGCTTTCTCCTGTGGGGTGATTAAAAGCCGATCGTCATCATTTTCGACTTTGAGAGGTGGAACGGGCTTGGGATGATTTTTCAGGACCTTGGCTACCTTCCAGAATGGTCTGGAGCGGTCGTCCAGATTCTGGACAACACGCCCGAAACTTTCATTTCGGAGTGAGTCCATTCTGGAAGCAATCTGCCTGTTCAGATCGGTCACTTCACGTTTTTTGCCCAGATCTCCAGTCCTCTGAAACTGGCGTCTACGAACATTTCTCAACCGAATAAGTAATTGGGTGTGGGAATCAATAGCAACAAACTTATCCCTCACAGGAACTTGTCGAACACACGCCTCGTCAGCCACCGATATGGCCTGTTGGAGTCCTTCCAACGCCCGGTCGATGTCAGCTACAGTGTCGAGCAGTGGATTTTCTTCGGTGTTGCTGTCCACCATTCGTCCGTACTGCACCCAGTTGACATGGTGGTAGTCTTTACGCAGGCAGCTTCTAGCAGGAACCACGTTGACACCGACTTCAGTCACCACCGGTTGGTGGTCGGAGCTGAGATCGTTGTGCGCCTCCGGCTTGGATAGTCCGATGTTTGACAGGAAAAAGTCCAGCGTGGAGGGATTTCCCACCGGAGACATGAAAGTTGGTTCGTCTGGAAATTGCACAGTGTACAGTCCATGTTGTGCGTGGTCGAACAATAGACATCCGTTCCGGTTCCTCTGGTAGTTCCGCCAAGCTTCATGGCGGGCATTCAGGTCACCCCCAACGATGAATCGGGAGCTAGTACGGGTGATGGCGGTCAGGTCGTTCTTGAATTGAGTTCCTAGACCATTGCTGGCGGTGCACTGGCGTGGGCAGTAAACAGCGACAAACCGGACGTTTCCAGTTGGTGATTCCACCTCCACACTAATGGCCTCGATGATAGAAGTGCGGATGTGGGGCAGAGTGCAAAACTTGATTCCCTTTCTGACGATGACCGCTACACCACCCCCCCCCCCCCCTCCTGGAGCTGGTGCGATCAAGCCGGATAATGTTGTGGTCAGGCAACCAGAAGCTGTCACCGGACTTTAGGTGGGTTTCGGTTAGAAGACCCACGTCGATGCTATACTTGCGGAGGAAGTCGGCAAGCTCAATCTGTTTTGCTTTTACATAGCAAGCGTTCCAGGTAGCGATGGTTAGCGGTTTAGACACCATACTGGATGATGAACTTACCGAGCACTTGGATCTGTTCGGGTTTATTGCGGCACTTACGAAGAGCACCGGACATGTTGACGAAAATTTCCATCAGTTCATCCGCTGAGAACAGATCGGGGTTGTTGTTTTGCGCTGGTGGTTGTCTCCAGAATCCAGGGGGGATGGAGAGCTTTGGCCAGCAGAATCACCAGAAGTTGCTTGAGCGGAATGCACCCGCGAATTCTCTTGCCTTTGCTGAGGAGCACGAAGAGGCGGGAAATCCTCCGTCCGAAATGCCGGGACTTTGTCCTTCTTGCGTCCTGGTTGGTTGTTAGTTGCCGCCTGTTTTCGGATGCGTTTGAAGTCCTCGCGTTTGGAGCACTGTCAGTCCGAACCTTGGTGAGCACCACCACAGTTGGCGCATTTTAACGCCACGGCTCCATCCGCAGGGCAGTCGGAAGTGGCGTGGTCTTGAGCGCAATTGCCACAGCGTGGCTTAATGTTGCAGTTGCGGGTGCCGTGTCCAAAGTTCAGACACCGTTGGCACTGAGTCACATCACGATGGCCGCCACGGTATGGCTCCCAGCGGACGATGATGGAATTGATGGAGCGGATGGTCTTCAGCGCGTTGAGCGTCACCGTTCCCTTCTGGAAGTGTACCAGGAAAAGGCTATCCGGATACGCCTTCACATTTTCGTCCTTCCTTGTCATCCGATAGACGGCACTTGGGGCCAGCTTGTACCGGTCTCTGATTTCAGCTTCGATAAACTTCGGGTCGAAGTTTGGTAGGCCCCTAATGACGACCTTGAATGGCTTCTCACCGGGAATGTCGTGGGTGAAGAATTCCACCTTGGAAGTCCTCAGGTGGGCGACGACCAAGTCATACTCCGCTTTGGTACGGAGCACCACCTTGGTGCCGACTCTGCCCAACTTGTATTCGGCTTTAACGCCCAGCGTCGCTAGATCTGCGATGAGCTCGTTAAGATGGGCATTTTTCACTACCAATGGAGGTAGCTTCACTTTTGCCGCACTCGGGCCGACAGAATTTTCGTTGCCGATGGCGTCGCCGAAATCACCGATGTCGCTGGCGTTCGTCGCAGTGACATCGGACTGGCCTCGATTCTTCTTTCTCTTCTTGCTGCGTTTTTCCAACACAGCTGGCTGGATATTCCCATCCATGGGGAGAACAGCAAACCTGTTCGAGGTAGGCACACCGGAGCTTCCTTCACCGGGGTTCTGGACCTTCGCCGGGCTTCGCGACCGATGCTTCCCCATTTCGAGGCACACACACACGCACGACAAACCGCGAAAGAGAGCGCGAACACTATCGCCACGAACTTTTCAAACAACTCGAGAGAGCGAGCTAACACCGAACTGAACTGCTTGACGATCAAGCAGAGAATGGTGTGACCTTTGCTCGCTTTCTACTCTCTATATATCCAGCATCATACCAAGTTGAGAGCTTTTTAGCATTTTGATGTCGGGGTTGTTTCTCTGCCAATTCTGCAATTGTTCGTCGTTTGCCTGTTTCCTAACAAAATCACTGTGGTCAATTACGGTAAGCAAATTGCTTCTATTCTCGAGAGGACATCTGCAGGGACATTTTGAGCGTCGTATATTCACTAATAAAACTCAGCGACCGCTGCTGCCTTAGCGATGTTTGTTTACATCTTGTTTAGGTTAAAAAAAAAAGGTTTGATGACATTTTGAAAAAATCGTTAACAACTTTTGATGAGATTCAATTTGCATTTAATTGCTGCTTTATGAAGGTAATGTTATGAACTTGCAATATGATCTGCAAACTCCTATAAATATATCCACTATTTGGCATATATAAGAACGTACAATTGTTTAGGTGGCACTCTTGCCTAACCAGACCCTACACACTCAAAATATGTCATGGAAAAGTAAGTTTTGAACAATTATACAGCACTCCCATCCTTATTTCGATATATAGTATTCATAGCTAATGTTGGAAATCACCTTGAACCCCTCGCACTTCAACCCTGGAATGGTCATCATCTTTACATACAGTCCACTATCCCTTGTGTCGTTGGCTACAACTGCACTATATTCAGAAAAGATAGACAGGAGCTCGTTGTTTACGGCGTGGTGATCTCAGCAACATCTACCAAACACACATAGGCTATGTGGTGGTGAGTTACGATCGGCCTGCGGGAGAGGATAATCGGTCGTTATCTCTTATCGAGATCGTGGCCGATTTGGAGGCGAACCAGCCCAAGGCTGAAAGCCTCCCTAATAAAGTTAAATAATAATAATAATAATCGTGGCCGAGAGATCGATCTGTTGGAGCGGGATGGAACTTGCGAACCCCAAATTCATCGCTAGTGCCTAGCGATTCGCCGGTGAAAACGGTTCGATCGGGGGAACCATACGTAGTTTTTACACATATGATTAGAGTTAAGTAGTAGTAAAATAAATGTTAGTCTAATCGTAAATAAATGTGTTTCGCGTAATGTGTATTTAACCGCACGACACGTGTACTTAGTGCAAAAAACAAGAAAGGCCCCGGAACCCTATCAAACGGGGTAATTAGGAGACCATACTCAGAGCAGAGGAGAAGCCTTATTATGATTGCGTCATCCCTATGGAGCCATAAGGGTTGGTGAAACCCCAATTTCATGTCGGCAGAGCTATCGGTATCGACAGCTAATAATACATAAAAGATATCATATTAATATAGCCGGTTTTTAAACATCGTATCCAGGCTTTATTTTCAATCGAGCGAATTTTTTTTTTACATGAGGAAGTCAATTTGATTTGGCTCAAAGCCATCAAGTGTTAACGGCCTATAAAAGTCAATTTACCGATAAAACAAACGGGGAATTTCGGATAACGAAACTTGTAGATGTGGTAAATATGCCACATTTTTATGACAAACTTGTTTTGCAACCATCTACATCAATTTGCACCAAAAGGTTTACTTTTTAAAACGGTACGAGTTGTACTTTTATTATCAATAATATATGTTATGTAGTTTATCATTTAAATAATCTGCAATAATAGTATGTAGTGCCTAAAACGTAAATCTTACCTCTATCTCCTATCCGATTACTTACTCTTTATATAACATAAGAAACAAAACATTCTGACTCTTGGTTTTTTTCTTTTCTCTCGTCCTAGTGATGAGATTTAGGTACATTGATTCATTCATTAACGGTTAACGGTTGGTTGTGTTTGTTCGGTTTGGTGAAAATATTATAGAAATTATTCAACAAATGTGTGGACAAGTTGGAGATAATGGCAATAGAATACCTACCGAAAAGAAGGCACAGCCGTTACAATGTATCGATCGCTTCTGGCCTGGCTTGGCTCTGGTGGCGTCTTCCAGCTTTTGAACGGCCAACTTTCTGAAAGAACAAGTTTCAATCACAGAGAAAGCGGCATGAGAGCAACGTGTTTCAGAGTGAAGGAGCGGTAGGAAGGGCCGAGTCCAACTCGACGATCCCCGGGTGGAATGAGTGTCTCTGCCATAATTCGGGACGTTCTCATTTCACCGCTCCGTCGAGTTGGACTGCTGCGACCCTTTCGTCGGATGACGAAGACATTGGTTCGATACATTCTTTAGGGAACAAACGAGAGTCTAGAGAAGAGGGATAAACTGTCGTCCCACATTGGAACAAGCTGCGATCCCGAGGGGTTGGCTGATCCACTATTGCCCGGCTGTAAGTGCGATTGAGAAAGGATTAAATAGCGGTGGCTTGTCGGTTTCGTGCATTCATCTCCCACCTTATTCCGTACAAAAGCCGTTGAAAATCTGCATCAGTTAGCTTGAAGTTGCTCCCTCTTTCTTCCAGCCGCTTCTGTGCCCTTCAGCCAGCTGAAAATGCAACACATACATTAACTAATAACGTGTTTTTTCCTGTTTCGACATGGGCAATCTTGAGCTTTTATTCTATATGTCATTACTCCAACTTGTTTTCTCCTCATACTGAGCGGTTCTATTGAGATGTTAATGTAATGAATAACAGTAGATATATGGGAATTAGAAAAAGGAAGGGTAAGGAATCATTCATGTGGTAGCCCTAATAATAGATCTTCCTTCTTCTTAACAAAAGCAAAAAAGAACGGAAACTAGTTGGACCTATCATGCCCTCTAAGTAGCGCATTCCTATCAATAACAATGCGTGAGATTGTGTCTTATAATAATAGAAGTATAGAAAAAATGATACCGACATTCTACTTAAACCTGATTCATCGTTCCTCGGCTTCCTCGAGCCAGGCTCGCTGGGAGCTTAGCGCACAGGACGCACAAAACTCCACCGAAACACGTCCCCCGGGAACGATGTGGATGCAAACGCCCGCTCCCGCTGCGGAACCTGATTCCAACGAGCTGTGATTACTGTGTTCGAAATAGTTATGCTCTGTGGTAATTACTTGCTCACTGCTGCTACTGCTGGATCGATCTCCGCCTGCCATCGTCGACAATAACTCATCCACGTCGGGCAGTCGACTGAACTCCTCCTCGAATGGCACTTCCTGCCCTGCCCCCATCATACCTAAATCTGGGAAGGAAAATTCGGATTCGATCAAAAAGCTGGACCAAAGCGGATCCTCCTTCGAGTCGACAGTACCGTGTGGGTTGAACTTGTCCTCGTCCGTCAGCATTGAATGTGGTGAAGATCCGAGACCTTCGTCGCTGCTACTTCCATTCCGTCGCTGGTGCTGCTGCGGCTGTTGCATCATCGGTTCCGTCACGTAGCTCAATCCAGAGGAAGTCATCGGTAATCCCGCTCGCTGAACCGATTTCAACACTGCCATTATTCCCGTTCTATTTGCAATGACGCTCTTCAGATAGTTTCTCTCTCGCGTCAGCTGGTCTACCAATTTGCACTTTTTCTTCAACACCTTCCGGATTCTGCCGTTGCATTCCTTCAGCTCATCCACTTCCTTCTCCAAATGTTCGACATGTTCCTTCTTGCGGCGGCGGTTTTCCCGTGCCAACAACGCATTACGGTTGGAAATCTTGGGATTCGGTCGTCTGGTTGGATTTCGCATTAACTTGCGTTCTTCATCTGTCTTTCGAGACGCGGGCGCTACGCCACCGGATGTGCGTCTCCTTTTCCCGACCAGCGATCCATCTTCATCGCTGTCTCTTTCGGAAATCGACTCCGTTTCGCTTCCGCTGCTGAATCCCATAAACTCGTCTTCCTCCTGCTCGGCTTCGTACTCGTAGACGGTGGGATCGATTTTTTTGGTAAAAATTCGGTTCAGTGATGAGGCCATCTTGTTCGCTACGTTTGCCAAACGTTTTCACTCCGCAGATGGTGCAAAAGAAGCAGTCAGGAAATTGATGTCAATTCTGGGATAACTTTCACGTTTTGGGTAGTGTACTTACTTTCGGAAACAACACTGAGCTATAATTTTAGCAGAAAATTAAGAATTTTCCACTAATTTAACGATTTTTGTTTTCTACGATTAGCACAAAAAAAAACGATGACTCAACGCGGTGAAAGTTTTGTCGGCTTTGATTTTTATTCCTTGCTTTTTTTTGCGTTGTTGTGACAGCAAGGCATCGGAAGCAGGAGGTTCGCCAACAGAAATGGTGTCCAGTTAAAGATGTAAGCCGTTTTAGCTGTTGTTGACAAGCTATTTCAAAACTACCCAAATTTGAGTGGGATGCATTATCGGTAGTGAAGCAAAAGAAGAATCAAATCCATCTTTCCACGCTTGGTAATGGCGGCCTGCACGGATTCGAAACTCATATGTCATTAGCCAAATACATCCGTAGACCATAGGTCCACCGTTGTATAATTGGCAATGCACCCGTGTACTGAATGGGAATTGTGGGTTCGAATCCCACCGGTGCCCTTGGATTTTTTCGCAAATTTTCTCACACGCACGTCTCTTGCCGATGATATGTGCTAACCTCTCAGTATCTTCTAACTGTCGCATATAACAAATAAAAATTGACTTTCAGTCGCTAACAATCGAGTTGTTTATACCTTATATACTATGCCCTCTTGAATCTGGGATATCTCGGTTATTTTGTAGATTTATTTCTTATTCTAACTCAGATCAGATATGGCCCTACAAATAAGAATGTGAACATTTGTAACGTTTAAAAATTATAACTATATCCATCGTTAAGGATAAACAGAGAGGGAAAGCTCAACTTAACCTAGATGCGCAAACATGCTGTGCATGGGCGTGTTTATCCTACTTGAACGCATAAATATTCCTAAGTAAATACTGCAGTAAGATTATGTAAAACGAGCCTTCATTCCTTTTTCCCTGCTTTTCATTTCATTTTCTTGGCCTTGGTATTTACGTCAGCTATGGCTAAGCAAACGAGATGCATCTATGTGGTTATCTTATGGTTTTGGCACAGACAAACAGACATAACAGTCGCAAGTTGTTCATCGAACAAGCATTTAACGGTCAATTTAAAAGTATCGTAGTTGGTAATACCATAGAGGTAACTCTAAGACCACTGGGTCCCGAAGAAAATCATTATTATTTTTGGCTCACTCAGTACCAGAACAACGGTCCCAAGCAGTCCCAAGCTATTTCACTCACCCCTGCATGTTCTGCATGAATCCACACACCCCTGATGTTATCTGTCAAACTTTCATAGCGAATCAAAACAAACATAGTGTAGTAATAGAATTTCAACTAGAATAGGGTACGTTAATCGTTTGCTTGGGACCAATAGGCTACTAAAGAGGTGAGCCAATTTAAAATCGTTAGTTTCGTATTGATTGTTGGTAATACCACCACCTGTGGTGCGCATAGTCAATTTCCTTGCGTTTGACGTTTACACACTACCGCCATCTGTTCAGCGTACTACCATAGAGGTAACTCTAAGACCAGAAGCTCCCGAAGAAACGAGCTCAACTTTTTGGCTCAGCTCTGGTACTATCTTCGGTCCTAAGCTAATCGATTCACCCCTCGAAACATAGGAAAATCCACTAACCCCTCATTTTATCTGTCAAACTTTCATAGCGAATCAAAACAAACTTAGTGTAGTACTGGAATTTATACTTGAATGGGGTACGTTAGTCGATTTGCTTGGGACCAATAGGCTAGTCAAGTAGTGAGCCAATTTAAAATCGTTAGTTTCGTATTGATTGTTGGTACTACCCACCACATTGTATTCAACAAATGGTGGTAATGTTTTAGCGACGATGTTTTACAGTGAGAAATATTCAATGTGTTATGTTTGTTTGTCTGTGGTTTTGGTTTAAAATTAATTGCCTCGCGGTAACATTTAGCGTTGTAAATTTTATGCAAGCATCCTTTTTCGCTTGCCGTTTTGACCTCGGTTTTGACAGCCAAGTCGACACTTAGAAATACCCAGAAACACCATCCGACACCCAAAAACACATGAAACACAATCAGCACAGACACAAGGTGCCACTCCCTGAAATAACCCAATAAATCATTTCAAGCTGGTGAATCTTAATCAAAAATACCATACTCAAACGATAATCCACATAATATAACTATTCCACAAATGGTTTGGATGATACCCTGAACACGTCATTAAGCAAAATAACCATACTAATTTTATTAGGGCAAAATCAAGTATTTCAAGCTGCATATTGCATTAGGTCCCAAGTAACATTAACCAATTCTCTTCGTCGACTTTCTCTTTCGTTAATAACTTGAGCACATAACCGTTTCTTGTTATGTTTGCCTTATTAGGTGCTAGAAAAAAGCTTTTTTTTTATCGATCTGTGTGCTGAAAATCCCTAGAAATGTCTTTACGGCCGTGGGGATACAAAGAGGAAGACTACACGAAACGAAAATCAATTATTTTATTCATGTGTTTCACTTATACATTTTTGCCAAAACATCAGCCTTATATCCCGGACAGACTATGCCTTATATCATGTAATATAGGCTGTCTTGCAATGAGCACTCATACATCTAGTTTTCACTGGAAATCCAATGTATGAGTGTTCATTGCAAGACAGCCTATATTACATGATATAAGCCATAGTCTGTCCAGGGTATTATACATTCCATAAGACAAATCACATAGATCCTATAAGAATGCATTAAAGGTATGTGTGACCGCTTATACATTTCATTTAACACATGATCTTCATTAACTTTTTGCGAGGCGTTTGCTTATTAGTTGACTTAGGACCTAATGCAATCTTCAACTCGATTTTATGAGGCTTTTGCCTCTTAGGGCTTTTGCTTCGCTTCGATCTCTCAGGCCTGAAATAAAAACAAAACGTTCATAAATCCCACTGTTCAAAAGCGGCTCACATCTTCGCATGGACACATTTTAATTTGGCGAGGCTACCCAAATTTGGTAACGAACAACTTGCCATCAGTGCTGGTTTTGCTACCAAAACCCGTCGGGAACGTCAAAAAGGAGAAAATCAAAATATTGCACTTCGTGCGAAAATTTCTGCTGATTTTTGTTATCAAATTTTCCACAAAAATCAGCCCTTTTCCATCAGCTTCGTGCTATAATCTAGTTCCAATCGGTTGTGTAGGGTATTTCAATTAGTGCTAGCGTAATAATGGTGAAAAATTCGTTGAAATCGATAGCTTAACAAACTGAATCGGTTCGTGCTCGGTGAAAGAGGGGAGATGGTTAGCTCACTACCTGCTGGAGAAAATTTCTATTGCTCGTAACACAAAGGTGTGCATAGAGATTACGGTTCTTTCTTCGCTTTTGTCGGAGAACAATCGACAGAAAACGAAAAAAATCATGTTGGAACCCACAACCGATTCCCAGCAGCAGCAGCAGGAGGAGATGGACAAAAACCTGGGCAATGAGGTTCCGGCGAAAACGACTGCTGGCAGCGATGGCGGTACGACCGAAGCGAACCAGATTCGTGAGTTGCAGCAGGAGTTGAAGCGGATACGAGATGAGTTCAACCAGCAGCGGGCCAAGATGAAGGAATTGTACCTGGCGAAGGAGGGTATGAGATTTTGCGGATGGGAGTTTTCGTTGTTCAATTATTGATTTTTTATTTTTATTGTAGCGGAATGCAAGCGCTTTACCAAGGAGACGTCCGTCGCTCGCAAGGAACTGGAGGAAGCCAAGTCGCAAATCATGGTAATGGACTACAATCGCGAGAAGGATTTGGAGGAGCAGAACCGACGAGCGCAGGAGGAAATCCTGACGTTGCAGCAATTGGTTCAGGAAACGGTGGACGAGTCAACGATCAGCCAGGAGGAGATGCGTCGCCTGGCGGAGGAGAACGAACGGCTTAGGACCGACCAGCAGGATCTGCGGGAAGCCCTCGCTGCTGCGCAGCAGGTGGGGTCTTGCATTCTACTAGGCTGGTGTTCTTATTCCAAATTGCGTTTGTTTTTTATTTTTGTTTTACGCAGGATTCCCCGAGCTTGGCACCGGTTCTCAATCAGGCGAAGAAGATCATTCGCAAGCTCGGTGCTGCCGACTCGAACAGTCACGATAATCTGGAGGATTCCATGCGGAAGGTAAACAAATATGTACGTACCAGCGCGAAATTGCGATTTTTGTCTTCTATTTTGTTGATTGATTGGTTGCTTTTTTTGGAAATCGATTCGCATGAGTAGATCTTCATAGAAAGGTTTGATTAGAAATCTAAGAGTTGCCCATTTTGCTATCCGACAGGCTCAGGAGGATGCGGAGGTGCTCCGTTCATTGGTCGTCCCGCTGGAGGAGGAGATTAAAACGCTGAAGGAGAAACTGCGCGATGCTTACGAAGAGCTGGAGAAGCACCGAGGGGAAGAGGCAAGAAAACCTCCGGAATCAGCTCTGGTTGGAATGCTGAAGGAAGCAACGCAGAAGGATCCAACTCCAACGCCGGTGGTAGCGAGCAATCCGCCAGAACAGGTCAACCCCGACGTGGTGGCACCATGTGCGATGTGTCCAAACTATGAGACTAAATTGATCCAGTGCCAGGAACAGTTCAACGGTGAAAAGCAGAAGGTCCAACAGCTGGAGAAGAGTGTCGAGCGGATGAAGGAAGAACTGGCCAAGGAAGGTGCTATGCGAGCGGACTTGGAAGCTCAGTGGCAGCTGAAACGAGAAGACCACAAAGCCGAGGTGCAGCATCTGAACGAGCAAACGGTGAAGGCTGAACAGGAACTGGGCGCGCTGAGGAAAGATTACGCTCAACTCAAGCAGACCGTGAACGATGAGCTTCAGAAGCTGACGGAAGAACGAGAACAGGTAACCGACAATAGGGGAAAGAAGGGATTTTTGTTTAAGTATCGTAAGATTTTGGGTTAGATTGGATCCTTGGTTGCTAGGGACTGAATAACAAATGACTTGAAATAATAATGACCTCTGAATTTTGCCCATCCGAATTCGACTGGACTTTGACTGACTTGACTGAAATGACCCCACTAATCTCGCCGAGACTCAACGCAAGTCTCCATTCACTTTCAGGTCTATCGCCACCTGGACGTCCTGCAGAAGGACAACGAGTTTCTCTCGGGAAAGTATCTGGAGAACTCGGAAATGCTCAAGGATCAGGAAATCAACCTTCCGCAGAATATAGATGAACTGCATGAACTGGTCCTGACCTTGCACGAGAATCTAATCGTAACGAAAGCGGGTTGTGAATTTGCCGAACGGAAAACCCTCAGCATGCAGGACGAAGTCACTCTACTGCGTGATCAGCAGCACACCCGGGAACGGGAGGTTCGCCGTGCCGAGCGGGACTATTCCAACAAAGTCGGCCAACTGGAGGAACAACTGCGCCAGCAGTACCAACACTATCAGCGATTGGCCGCCCACAAGGAAGAACTTGAGCGAGCCGACGCCGAAAGCAAACGCCAAATGTCCGATCTCCGGATGCAAACCATCGGACTGCAGGCCACCAATGAGAAGCTAGACAAACAGAACATGGACCTCAAGAACAAGATGAGCGTCCTGCAGGAGGATCTCGCCAACAACGAGGCCGTCCAGAAGGACTTTGTCAAGCTGTCTCAATCGCTGCAGATGCAGTTGGAGAAGATCCGCTCGGCCGACACGCAGGTCCGCTGGCAGGACGAGGACGACATCGATCAGTGTCCCAACTGTCGGAAGGAGTTTACGGTGACCCGACGGAAGCAGCACTGCCGTCACTGCGGTACCATCTACTGTCAGCCGTGTCTGACCAAGACGGTTCCCACCGGACCGAATCGGCGGCAGGCGCGGGTTTGCGACGTGTGTCACACGCTGCTGGTACAGGACACGGCACCCTACTTCAGCCGGGAACCACCGCAATCGCCGTGAGCAGCTCCTAGTTAGTGTTCTTCTTCTATGTGTATAATTGGTTAGCGTCGTTTTGCTGCCGGGGTTTAGGCGGCCCGAATCGGGTTAGTGCTGTAGAAATTATGTTTTTTTTTTTGTCAGGAAATTCAGGGGGAACGGGGAACCGGCCGAATCCAAAGCTAGGTACTCGAGAGAGAGAAAGAGATAGGAAGGCAAAGCATGTTTTATTATTCCTTCAAATTTTAGTGTACATTTAAACCCTTCGCTTTGTCGTATACAGAAACATTAAAATATAGAATCGTTACTAACCGATGGGTGTCGGCGAATTGTCGGTCGAGTTTCTTCGAAAGCCCGGTTCTCCTTTTGGGATTGTCATCTCTTTTGTCGAGGAATTGAACTTTGTTGTTTAATAACACATTTATTTCTGGGGACACTTAAGCATTACTGTGTGTCAAGCTACACGATTTTTTTTTTACTCCAGACCTAATTAAAGTTATCTTTTAGCACTAAATTTATTTATCTTTCAAATGTCGTCCGCACAATTTTGAATAGTTACATCTAGATAGGAAAGCGGTTTTGATTTCTTCGATTTATAATACAAGACAGATCATTACTTAAATCAACCCTATAGTTTATTTTTTCGACGAATGAAAATTATGCATATCCAACAATCTTTAAAAACTATTCAATATTTAATTTGATCAACAAATTCTAAGCAACAATTCGTTTTTCGATTCCGTTCTTGCTTGATAAGGTTTGGGTAATGTTGTTAAAGCCATTAGCATTGTTTTGTTATTATTATTATACCTGCTAAGTTATAGAAATCAATTTTCATTAGATACCTATTTACTTAAAAGTAAGATATTGGTAAGAATTTGAACATTGACTGTTTTTGTGGTGTCAACGAGAGCGGGCTACGGTACACGTTTCAAGATATAAATAATTCGCGTTTACGACGATTATGCTCTCAAGGACTCACTCGTTGGTTTGAATCGTATCTTACCAATTGGCTGGCAAATTACTGAGATAATGCGTACCACCGGTACTTCGCGTACTGGCGGGGGCTGCATCCTTTTTGGAGGATGTGGCTTACAAAACTTGATCGTCTGCTTTCCATGTTAGGGGCGGCTCAAATAGCGTCTGACTGGCATCCAGCGGCTGAATACGAAATGCTTCTCCCCGAAAGCTATACCCAAGATGGCAGTCCCATCACGGTGGATAGGAGACCTTAGGCCAAACACCTACTGTCTCCGAAACCTTCAAATTGTTACAGAAACCTATAGTGAAAGATTACGAACTGATTTTATGGCAACGACTTTTAGCGCTAAACAACGGACAAGAATTGGAACATGGAATGTACTGCCGCTAGCCCAACAGGGTAAACTGGCACAACTCGCCAGTGAGGCCCGCCGTATGAAGCTAGAAATCCTGGGACTTAGTGAAAACGTGAAAACGAAATCCTGGGACTTAGTGAAAGTGCGAGGTGAAAACGCTCCACGACATCGTGGAGTTGGCTTTCTGCTTAGCGCCCAAGCACAGCCTACGCTCATCAAGTGGGAACCTATCAATGAGAGAATAATCGTTGTCAGATTCAGAACACGGGTCCGAAACCTTACCATAATCCATTGTTATGCGCCAACCGATGCTGCCGAATTGCAGGACAAAGAGAACTTTTACAGTCAACTGAATGCTGTCGTGGATAACACTCCAAGAGGTGTTCTCAAGATCTACATAGGCGACTTCAATGCGAAGATCGACTCCGACAACTCGGACTATGGGCGCATTATGGGACGCCATGGTCTCGGAGATATGAGCGAGAACGGCGAGCTGCTTGCAGAGTTTTGTGGCAACAACGACATGGTGATCGGGGTTTCGCTCTTCCCCCATCGCCCAGTGCATAAAGTCACATGGGTCTCCCGTGATGGATATACAGAGAACCAAATCGACCACATCTGCATCAGCCGAAAATGGAGACGGAGCCTTCTTGATGTTCGGAATAAACGCAGCCCTGACATCGCGTCTGACCATCATCTCCTTGCGCGGGTTCAACGGCGGGAGGAGAGACTCGAGCGGCGATTCAACACACGCCGACTGGAAGACCCAGCAGTGAAGAGATCGTTCGTCGAAGAACTCGAGGCTCGCGGAGCTAATATTCCGGAAGGTGGCAGCGTAGAAGAACAGTGGACGAGTATCAAGAATGCCTTTATTGAAACAAGTGAGAACAATCTGGGTGAGCTGCGCACTCAGAGGAAGGAGTGGATCACCGATGAAACCTGGAGGAAGATCGAGGAGCGGAGAGAAGCAAAAGCTGCAATAGAGCGAGCAAGGACCCGAGGAGCCAAGAACGAGGCCCATCAGCGATATTCGGCTCTAGAGAGGGAAGTTAAGCGTTCCTGTATACGGGACAAGCGGGCGTGGGTGGACTCCCTGGCTGATGGCAGCAACTGGCGATATCCGCCTCCTCTATGATGTTTCACGACGCCTGAGCGGGGCTGAACCCAAGAATGCCTGTGAAAGACGCGACTGCACAGTCACCGACCCCACTGACCAGTTGAAACGTTGGTTTGAGCACTTTGAACAACTTCTCGAAGTTTCAACGGTCAACCAACCATCAACATCTCGGCATGATCCGCCAAGGGTGAGGCGCGTTACTCGCGTCAACACTGAAGCTCCATCATTGCAGGAGATAGAAGCAGCCATCCGAAGTATGAAGTCCAACAAAGCCCCGGAGGTCGATCGCATATCAGCAGAGTCAACTATTCGTCAATATCTGGGACACCGCGACTTTTCCGGCCGACTGGATGCAGGGCGTCTTGGTAAAAGTCCCCAAGAAGGGGGATCCAACTGTATGCGACAACTGGCGAGGCATCATGTTACCAACAATCAATACGAAACTAACGATTTTAAATTGGCTCACCACTTTAGTAGCCTATTGGTCCCAAGCAAACGATTAACGTACCCTATTCTAGTTGAAATTCTATTACTACACTATGTTTGTTTTGATTCGCTATGAAAGTTTGACAGATAACATCAGGGGTGTGTGGATTCATGCAGAACATGCAGGGGTGAGTGAAATAGCTTGGGACTGCTTGGGACCGTTGTTCTGGTACTGAGTGAGCCAAAAATAATAATGATTTTCTTCGGGACCCAGTGGTCTTAGAGTTACCTCTATGATGTTACTGTGTATTGTTCTCAAATTTCTGTGCAAAGTTATCCTGAATCGGATACAGGAGAAGATCGACACGACTCTCCGACGACAGCAGGCAGGATTCCGTGCCAGAAGATCCTGTGTGGACCATATTGTCACGCTCCGCATCATTTTGGAGCAGGTCAATGTGTTCCAAGAGTCCCTGTACTTGGTATTCATTGACTACGAAAAAGACTGAGACGCAAGGGAGTCCCTGATAAGATTTTTTTTTTTTTTTTTTTTTTTTTATTATAGTCACTTTAACACTCTTGGGTCATTCGTGACTTGTCCGGGGGTGAGATTTGAACTCGTGACTTTGGCGTGAGAGGTATGGATGTTAACCACTACGCCGGGGTCGCCCCCCGTGATAAGATCGTCAACAGAGTGTTGTACAACGGAGCTTTGTTTGGCCCGATTCGGGTAATCGCGGGTGTGAGGCAAGGATGTATATTATCACCGCTACTGTTCCTCATCGTAATCGACGAGATCATGGTTGGAGCCGTTGACCGTGTACCGAACCGTGGGTTGCTGTGGCAGCCTATTGGTATGGAGCATCTCAACGACTTTGATTTGGCTGATGATATTGCGTTATTAGCACAACGGCGCTCTGACATGCAGAGTAAGCTCGACGACCTTGTGGAACGCTCCTCTGAAGTAGGTCTAACCATCACCGTCAACAAGACCAAATCGTTGGATGTCAACACGGAAAACCGTTCCAATTTTACGGTAGCTGGGCAGGCAGTGGAGAAAGTCGAAAGCTTCCAATATCTTGGCAACCAGATAGCGTCGGAGAAGAGCGACATAGGTGCACTGATTAAGAAGGCGAGGGCTGCTTTTGCCAGTTTGAGAAATTTTTTTTTTTTTTTTTTTCTTTATTATAGAGATTTTTAGCCATAGGCTAGTTCATCTCTTAGTTTGAGAAATGTATGGAGAGCGAATCAGATCAGTCGACGCACCAAAATCCGAATTTTTAACTCGAAAGTGAAGTCTGTGATGTTATACGCCAGTGAAACATGGTGTGTATCAGCGGAGAACACTCAGAAGTTGCAGGTGTTTATCAACCGATGCCTGCGGTACACAATTCGTGCCTGGTGGCCCCACAATTGGATCTCAAATTCCGAGCTTCATCGTTTGTGCCATCAGAAGTCGATAGAGATAGAAATTCGTGAACGGAAGTGGAGGTGGGTCGGCACACACTACGACGGAGCGGAAACGAAATCTGCAAGCAAGCACTGGACTGGAATCCAGCAGGACATCGCAGCAGAGGTAGTGAAATTAAGAACGTTGACCGAAATTTGACTTGAGCACAGGTCAAGGCCAAAGCTAGTAATCGCCCAGGATGGAAATCTTTCACAAAGGCTCTTTGCACATCTGGAGGTGCGCAGGATCGTTAAGTAAGTTACCAATTGAGAGCTTTGTGTGAAAATCGACTCTCATGAATCGGAATATTTTTCAAACAACTCAGGCCTTCCTCAAGATAGCAATTTGGGCCCGCTGTTATTCTCGGTATTCATTAACGAAATAGGTTTGATACTTCCATCTATAGTCGCTATATTCATAGTCTGGCGGATAGAATCTCGGGAACCGATTGAGCTGTCAAATAGCGGAACCAATCGAGCAATTTACGACCAACAACTGAAAAGAGCACATCAGCTATTGCGAACAAAACTTCGGAAACCCTTTTCTCGTGACTCAAAGCTCGCCTACGTAAACTAACACCATCTTTGGGTTGAGAAAAGCTTCCTCTATCCGATGATGCCGGTAATTTGCGTTTGATTGGTGAGGAAAGAATGATCAACGTTTTGTTTATAAAAGTTGATAGGGGAAACGCTCCTATAGTTGCGGTACGTTAGAAGCGTTAGGTTCCTATAGTTGTGTATGGAGTCTCCATACACAACTATAGGAACCTAACGCTTCTAACGTACCGCAACTATAGGAGCATTTACCCTAGTACCTTTTCAATTGTTGGTCTAAAATATATTGAATTGGTTCCGCTTTTTGATAGACCAAAATTCTATCCGCCATACCGGTCATTCTATGCAGACGATATCAAGATGTACGTGGTTGTGCGACGCTTCTTCACTGATTGCTTGCGGTT